ACCACGACGACGACTACTACTACTTCCACTACTACCACCACTACCACCACCACGTATTCAGGCCTCTTTAATACCCCGTTCAAAAATCTGTAAGTGCATTCTGGACAGGGGCCTGTCTATGTTGTTCCGAGGCGGTGCACTACACCGAAAACCTTATTGGGATCCAGGACTGAGGACCTATTGCTTAGGTTCAAGCTAAAAAGATAGGGTTTAGGTTTGAAGGCGGAGGGCTTCAGTGATAAATAGACCTTTCCCTGAGGCACCAGAATGGTGTGGCGTTCAGTGCTCGCGGAGCGACATTCATGTTGTGGGTGTTCTAAATAGCTAAGATCCCCTTAACAGTGGGCACATGCTGACTACTGTGATGTTGGTTTGGGTTTGGGTTTAGAGGTAGTTTTTCTCACCCTAGATTTGAGAAGACGTAGTTTACTGCAATTCTTAGGATGTTTGGAAACTCTAGTGCAGGATCTTTGTGTAGGTCTCTATGTAGGCTATAGGCTTTAGGGGTGTAGAGGACTAGGGGAACGGTCTGGAGTCTAGGATTTTGGGGTGCAGGTTGTTTTGAGTCGGGGTTTGGGGAATTTGGCCCTAAAGCCGAGACCTTGCCACCTGAACCTTGACCTGTGAACTCTTTAAGATGCTGCGGTTTGAGGCATCTTCTTACACACCACGGTTAGGCTCCACACCCCAAGCCTAGGAAGCTCCCATAACACCCGAAACGAATCCATTAAAACCCCGAAGCGCCCTCGTCACAAAAATATTCCTCAACCCTAAACCCTAAACCCTAAACCCTAAACCCTCAACCCTAAACCCTAAACCAACCCCCACGCAAAGGAAAAGCCAACGGCCCAGCGGCCAGTGGAGGGATGGTTCACGAAGAAGGGGATGGGAAAGGCGGTCTCGGACGTGAACTCCTTGGTGCCCCCTCACGCTGAACCGCGGAGCCCGGACCCGACCCCGTGGTTTGGTTGGGGCCTTCGGGAGCCTCAAACAGAACCCGCAAAATCCATGCAGGGTCGAGTTCGGGCTGGGGTTTAGGGTTTAGGGTTTAGGGTTTAGGGTTTAGGGTTTAGGGTTTAGGGTGTAGGGTTTAGGGTTTAGGGTTTAGGGGGCTGGGGTTTTAGGCTTATAGGGCTTAGGATTCACACCGAAGTTGGGTGCCGCCAAGCATCGCTCACATCACCGATGGTGTCCGTCCTCCACCCCAGAGGCCGGACAATGGCAAACCTTAGCCATTGCAGCTTGTGGGTGTCTTGTTAGGGAACTCCTTTGAAGTTACGGTTGGCAAGCTGTTTGTTATGCTTCCTCCTTCAGTGTGGTGATTAACCCAACACAAGTTCCTTAACAAGAACCGGGGCTGCGCCATTCGTGCTCGATTTTTGAACTGGGCGCCTGGGTTTATATCAGAATGTCTGAAAGGCTAACCTGCACCGAACAGGCCGAACAGGCCTTCATTCGGGGTCGGGATTGCCCTATGTCTCAGGCAGGTGTTCGGGCAAACTCCTACCCGGAGGAGCTTTCTGAGCACTTTGACCCCTTACTGACGCTCAATACCCGCTGGACGTAGTCTAGAGCTCCCGCGTCTGGGGCTCACAAGAAACGACGGGCACGTCGAATAGTCTCTGTTTGGTCTCGTGACGTTCGTTTTGTGATTGCTGACGCAAGCCCGGATCAGAAACTCCCATTCTTCAAGGGTTGTGTTATTGGGATTACTCTTCTTGTCAATATAGGACTTCTCAGGGGCGCAAGTCTACGTAAGAGCACGTAAAAGGCAAGACCCTCGTGTTTAAACCCGTCACCACAAGCTCCGAAAAATCCCCGCACCCCAGGCCCTCAGCCGGACACAGCCCGAAAGTCTCTAAACTCTTCGCAGATCCCATGCGTGCAGCAACCAGCAAACCTAAGAAACAAGATTGCAAACCCTCTCCGGTCCTAGATTAAGTCATGTAAACCCCTAGCTGTAGCCACTAAGCCCTGGTCCAAGTCGCTCGATGAGAATCGATACGAGGATCGCCATGAGCGAGGAAGGGATGATCTTGAAGATCTGCAGCGGAACCTGCCAAAACGATCACCTAGTCGCCCTGAAAAATTAGCATAGGGTTTGGGAAAAAAACAGTTCGTCAGGAGCCCTAATGAATCAGACAGGTAATCCTTCAGTCTTCCGAACTTGGCCTTCTCCTTCCCTTTTCCTGGGACCCTCGCAAGGAAGCAGTATGAAAAGGAACTAGGACAGACTTCCTGCTTCATGGCGTTCACACTGTCGGGTCTTGGCTCCTGTAAAAGGCTGAGGCCTTAGGGCTTCGGGCTTATAGGGTTTGGGGCCCAGGGTTAAGAAGTTTAGGGTTTAGGGTTTTGGGGGTTTAGGGTTTAGGGTTTAGAAGTTCAGGGTTTGGGGTTCAGGGTTTAGAGGTTTAGGGTTTCAAGCTTTAGGGTTTGGTTTCGGGCAGTAAGTATTTAAGTTTAAGGCCAGCTTAGGGTTTGATATCTGAACCCATCGTCAAAGTTAAACGATGAGCATCCCTGCTCAATTTTGGCATAGCCCACGAAGAACCCCAAAAACGTAAAAGTCCTAGGAGACATGCAAAACTAACAGAGCCAAGAAGAAGCCCAGAAGCTCGAACCCTCAACTCTGAAAGCAGTCCCCAACTCCTTGCCTCCTAAGCCCTCAACACCGTGACTGGTGCAAAGCCCGTTCTCTTAAACCCTAGACTCCAAAAGCCTTACTGCACTAAGCCGACGTCTCGGCCATGGGAAGCGACTCCCCCAAACCTTCGACCTTCAGCCTTTTTTTAAAGCACCCCATAGCTTTACACCAGACCAGACGTGAAGAAACACCTCCAAAGCAGAACCTGTCAACCTCAACCCCACCTGCACCCTTAACCCCGAAGCTGTTGGCCTTGGGAAGGAACTCCATGGTGGCCATGGCCATGACAGTAATGACCTCAAGCCGAGAGGAACGGGAGAGATTGGGTTTTGGTCGGGGTTATTCTTTGGTTTAGTAAGGCCTGAAAAGGGCCTTATAAATGCTCGGATAACGGTTTAGACAGAGTCTTCTAAAGGATCTTCTTGCAGAAGGTATTCTGAAAAGCCTTTTAGGTTGAAGGCTTCAGGGCTCTAACCTAAACCCGAAACCCTGAACCCTAAAACCGTCAGGGCCTTAGGGCTAAGGGTCTAAGGGTCTGACGGTTCGGGGGGCTTGGAGTTTAAGGCTCCGGTAAGGGTCTATACTGTGAGTAGGACAAAACTACACATCAGGGCTCTTGACACGGCACCCTCCCCGCATCGGCGCATCGGGGCATGTCCATGGTCTCAGCGTGTACTCCGAGGGGTCCAGGTACCCTATGATGACACATATCGTTCTCCAAACGCTGACCTACGAAACTACTATCTTTTTGACCATCGAGAGACAAGGACCTCTGCACCAAGGGCAGTGTTGAGACCTGAAGGCCCATGGGGCATACTTTGCGGCGTAAGGATTTGGGATTCAGGTTTGTGCCGGAACCCAGACCTCAAATGTTGCTAGGCCTTCCCCAATTGCCGCCAAGCGTCCAGCATCCACAACAGCTCGTAGCCGCCCTTCCAGCCGCTTTCCGAGGACTGGACGGGCGGAGGAGGGTCTGAATTTGGGGTTGGTTGCGGATACTACATGTTGCTGAATGATAAGCTGAGGGTTACTGTTTCGAATACCGTACAGGTTGCTGCAAGGGTTGCTAGAATAGAAGAGTTGTGTGAAGCTTACTTCATTTACTTGTAGTGCCTTACAGCTTACATGGGGTTTAGGGCTTTTCAATGGGTTTAGGGCTTAGGCCTCGGGGTTCACACTTTAAGGTCTCCGTGGTGTGGTGTTGAAGGTTCAAAGTTCGGGGAAGTAAGATCCCCTGCCTTATATTATATGGTCCTTTTATATTCTATGGTCCTTATATGATTGTGGTAACTGTAGTAGAACATACCCCAAGCCCTATTCCACCCATCAGCAGCCCAATAGAGCCGCAGTCTACCTAACATCGCCAGAATTCGCTGCCCTAAACCCTAAACCCTAAACCCTAAACCCTAAACCCTAAACCCTAAACCCTTCTTACTGTCCCTACCTCAGTCTGAGGATTTCCTGAGCACCTCGGATCCGCCCAATTTTTTGCCCATCCTCCACTGGAATACGGCCGCTAGAAGGGTTGCCTGACTGGCTGCTACTTACTTTCAGCTTAACGCTCTTCGCATCACCCTAAACCCCAAACCCTTAACCCCAAACCCTAAACCCTAAACCCTAAACCCTAAACCCTAAACCCTAAACCCTAAACCCTAAACCCTAAACCCTAAGAGGCCCTAAGACCCCAAACCCTAAGACGTGGACCCCCGGAAGCTAGACTAAACCTTGAACCCTTTGGCCTGAACCCTTACACGTCCAACCCGCACATCGTGCAGCTGGCAAGCCCGGAAACCCTTCCAAACCTTAAAATCCTGAGCCCTAAACCCTAAACCCTGAACCCTAAACCCTAAATCCTGAAGCCCTAAACCCCCGACACCCCCCATGCTCCCCCATGCAAAGCCGGAAGACTCAGCCTGAGCCTCCGACTTCGAAACCCCCGAAGGGTTAGGGTTCGGCATTCATTCGGACTGAAAGCTCTGCCCCGAACCCTAGCGCAATATAGGGGCCTGAATACTTAGAATAGGGTTTTTTTGGGGGGGGGTCCTCATTATACTTCTAGTAAGACCCCCAAACCCTATTCTAATTCTTAAGGCTTAATAATTTCAACAGGGTTTGGGGTATATTCTACTATTAATATACAAAATTCTTAAGGCCCCTATATTAGTTACTAAGGCCCGGACTCTTTCGACACGTTTATAAGGAGCCCGGGCCTCGTCATGGAAAGGATGAAGCTGGGCCATGCCGATGACAATGGCGAGACCATTGCAGAACCCAACCATGACCTCAAGGGGATTAGGGTTAAGGGTTTGCGGGATTAGGGTTTGGGGTTTAGGGTTTGAGGGATTGGGGTTTAGGGCTTGGCATAAATGAAGGTTTAGGGAAATTGTTACGGTCATGAGGTTTCACTTCCCCCCTGGCATACCTGAAGCCATCTTGCTACCCTTGTTGCTCTTGTCACTGCGGCGATCAGTATGCTTGGAGGATCATGGGACTTAGTAAGTAGGGTTATAACTAAGGTAACTATACTTATAACCGAAATTAAGGGACTTATAACCTTACTTACTAAGTCCCATGATCCTCTAAAGCCTTTTGAAACCGGACTTGATGACTGCCAGCACTAACCCTAAGCCCTAAGCCCTAAACCCTAAACCCTAAACCCTAAACCCTAAACCCTAAACCCTAAACCCTAAACCCTAAACCCTAAACCCTAAACCCATGATCCTCTAAGTGTGGCCCGTTAAGACTCCAAAGCCTCCGAAGCCACGATGTGCCAGAGAGCCCAAGCCCACCGCTCCTTCATCCTGAACCCCCGGAATCCCCCAAAACCTCTAAACGCCCCTGCAAACCCTTAAGGGTTTAGGGTTTAG